AATTCCAGGTTTTCTATTCTTCTTTGAGAAGCTGCTGGGCAGTTGAGAATATCTATCAAAGGAACACATGATTCGAAGTAAATCACTTGGTCTATCTAGTTTCAACTTAAAACTACTTAAACTCATATCACTGTGCAAACACTTTCTGGAAAACTCTTCTTGAGCTACACTGGTTTATCTGTTGGAAATCATCTTCTAACTTCCACTCTAGACCTTTTTCATGGCAGTTCTTATCCACTTGAACAAATATTCGTTTTAACTTGTATAATTTTTCTAACTTGGTACTGTTTCTCACCTGATGCATTTATGGTAAACTAACATATTCCCCTCAGTTATTAAGTTGTTATGCTTCCTGTGCTTAAGATCTTGTACCTGACTGTCATTGGCTTTGCCAGTCACGAGTTCTCCGTTTCTTCCTGTAGCTCCCAGAGTGTTCCTGCTCACATGCGTACCCCCACATCTTTCCAACCAAATCACTACTTACTGCCTGCACTGGCACCAGTGCTCTGTGAAACTTCCCTAAGTGCAGAGGAGGGAATCCCAGCCATTCCTCCTCAGAACAGCAAATTACTGCAATATGGGAGAATGGCTTCGTGTGTTACAAAAATGTCTCAGTTGTTTCTCGTAATTATAGTGAGTGCAATGTAGTTATTCTGTATAGTATTGTATTCAATGCAACTGAAAGTCCTGTAGATTTGCAGAAGGAAGGTCACATCTCAAACCCCAGCAAACCATTGATATTTTACAAGTTTGTACAAGTTGCTGAGATACTTCTCTGAAAATAAATGATCAGAAAGTATTTAAATTATATATCAGTATAAAGGAGAGTACATAAAGAAGAAGAGTAATGTAGCTACTGTGCTTTGGGTTTGTGCCTCAGTGTTGACAACACACCAGCTTTTTGGCTACTGCTGAGCAGTGCTTCCACAGCGCCAAGGCCTTTTCTTTTTCCTCACTCTGTCCCCCCAGGAAGTGGGCTGGGGGTGTGCAAGAAGGCGGGGGGCGGGGACAGCCAACACAGCTGACCCAAAATGACCAAAGGGACATTCCATGCCATATGAATGTCATGCTCACCAATAAAAGCTGGGGAAAGGAGGTGGAAGGGAGACAATCAGGGTTATGGTGTTTGCCTTGCCAAGTGACCACTACATGTGGTCAACTCACCACAGTCACTAAAGTATTTTCAAATATGATAATATAGAATCATAGAATCTTTAAGCTTGGAAAACACCCTTAAGATCATCGAGTCCAACCGTTAACCTAACACTGCCAAGTCCACCACTAAACCATGTCCTCAAGCACCACGTCTACCCATCTTTTAAATACCTCCAGGGATGGGGACTCAGCCACTTCCCTGAGCAGCCTGTTCCAATGCTTCACAACCTTTTCAGTGAAGAAATTCTTCCTAATACCCAATCTAAACTTCCCCTGGTGCAACTTGAGGCCATTTCCTCTCATCTTATCGCTTGTTACTTGGGAGAGGAGACTGTCCTGCACCTCGCTACAACCTCATTTCAAGCAGTTGTAGAGAGCCATCAGGTCTCCCCTCAGTCTCCTTTCCTCCAGACTAAACAACTGCAGCTCCCTCAGCTGCTCCTCATAAGACTTGTGCTCTAGACCCTTTACCAGCTTCGTTGCCCTTCTCTGGGCACGCTCCAGCACCTCGATGTCCTTCTTGCAGTGAGGGGCCCAAAACTGAACACAGTATTTGAAGTTCAGCCTCACCAGTGCTGAGTACAGGGGGACGATCACTTCCCTAGTCCTGCTGGCCACACTATATGCACAGAGATAGTGGTCAGACAGTTAAAAAGAAGAGATCATAGTTGATACAATAAACTGCAGAAATAGTTTCAACATGTTGATTTAGCCAGACAATAACAATTTTTCCTTTATAAGCAGGACAGTGATTAAAAGTTGAAATACAGGTGAATTAAACAATAACTAAAAGCACATGGTCTTCTTGTCTTAATATATGTATTAGAGGTAAGGAACTCCCATTTCGTCCTGAAATATCTAAGGACGTACAAGTGAGTGCCAAGATTCAAAAAAGCAGCATGTATCTGTCTAAGTATGCAGGACATTTTAAAAAAATAAATAAAGTACTATAAATTAGCTAAATGTTAATGGGCTTATTATCAAAAGATGTTATTTCAAGTATAATTGAAAAGTATGTTTTAACTTTTATTCTTGCAGCTCAAACTATATGCAAGAAAAAGAATCAGAAGTAAAACTAGAAAGGGAAGGAATCCACCTATATATCCCTTTTCTTCCTGTAAGGAAAGCTTCTTTATAGTTTCTAAAGGTATGAGCTCTAAGTAGGGATGAACATTGTTTTCTATGTTACTGCTTACTGCTCAACTTTAATAGGCTTTTCCTGATAGCGCTCCATATTTGATAACCTTGAAATAAAATAATATCATTAACCATCCACATCTTTCATTTGAAAAATTTCCTAAATGCTTTTACTTTGAGGATCATAGGAATGAGTGGATTAGATTCACATGCTCATGTGGAGCCAACAATGAGTAGTACACAACAATTCATTCTCTTTTTAACCAGTCCTAAAAGCTTTTTACTTTCCCCTAACCACCAACCAATTAATTTGCCTACCGCTTGCTGGCTCTGGGACAATGCTCCCATAACCCCCTCCCACCTAACTCAGTCATTAACTAGGTTAGGGGAGCATTTCCCTTGTAAATGTGTCCCCTAAGCATTTTTACTTTTTTTCCACCAAAGAGAGAGCAGATCATACTTATTTTACTTCATAAGTAATGGACAGTATTTATCTTTAAATATAAAAAAGGAAATAGACCCCAATATCACTGTGAACAGGTAAAAATATTTTTGCCTCCACAGAAGTAACTGATGAGGGAAAGCTTTAGCATGTGTTAAAGAAAATAATAATTAAAGTATTATGGCACTCCACTTTATAAACTGATGGTTCTGACTCTTTTCAAGTAGTGCCCTTAATTTTGTTTAACTCATCTCAGGAGGCAAATACTAGAAACAGAATGGATCCTTCATAAACAGGAGGTCAAAATAATCACACCCCCATTCAGCTTGAACCTTAGCTCCTGAGCACAAGTAAGGCTGAGACTTATGCAATTTTAGGAAGGAGCATGAAGGATCACCTAAAGATAGGGCTCACTTGAGTCACTGCAAAGCTTTCTTGAGTAGCCATGAGACAAGCTAGAATTGGCCTAGCCAGCTGGAAAACATGTAGATGTACTTTAGTTATGCTAAAAATTAAGTCACATAAAGACAAGCTGTGTTGGAGATGCTGGTCACTATAGCAGATACTGGATTAGCAGTTCTACTTAATGATCACAGATCGTTTAACCCCATTGTTGGTCTGTAACGTAGAGAAGAGTGGTTTAAATAATAAATCCATGAGCTAATCATTAATGGCTTGCATAATGTCACTTCTAGACGAGAATTTCCATACCATGTAGAAGGGCAATGAATGGAGACACTTTCAAATTAGGAAGGATGACAACAATTAGGACACTTATTAAATAAAAAAAAAGAAGCAACAATAGATGGTATGACAAAGGCGTGAAATACAGAGAAGGACAGAGAAGGCATATACGTGACTTCTTTCTAAACTCTATAAAGAGATCAAAAGAAAAATGAAATGTGTTTCAAGATATCAGAGAAGATGAAACGTCCACAGAAAATGTTGCCTCTGCAAATCACAGCAGTCCTCTCTGCTCCCTTTGGCTCATATTGATGACATCAACTTGAAGGGAAGTTCAAGAACCAGCTTGAGTCTAAGACTTTCTACTAGAATCTCTTTTAAAAGGGCAAACTACTTCATTTTTAATGAAGGACAAGTGTTAGCAATCAGCAGGAGAACTATCAAAGAAAAAAAAATTAGTACTAAATTGTCTCTGCCATTTAACATAAAAATGATGCTATTGGTACAGACCAAAAAGTCCACAAAGTCCCATATTCTGTCTGGTAGTGGGTAACAGAGCACATCAAGAGGAGAACTGAATGGCACATTTTCACCACTGTCAATTTTTTGTGCAATTGAATTAAAATCTTGGAAAATAACAATTTGGATGGGGAAAGAAATAATGATAGCAAAATTAAGAAAGAAGACCAGAAACAGACTGTACAAATATTTTATACATGAAATGAACGAAGAATTAAATGTTTAAGACTAACTGATAGCAACAAATTGGGAAAATGGCATAAAAAAACCCATTAAAACATTTTTGACATGCAAATTCACACACTTCTGAAATTGCCACTCTAGTTTCTAAATAGAGAAACAATTCAGTTTAAAAGATGAATGATATGACCATATTAGATATCATCAGGAGGATTCCGAATTAAGAAGGGAATGTTAAACCTAGTTTGCAACATGTAAGTGTTCACAATATAAGTGCCAAATATTGTAGAAAAATACTCATTTTTTTCCACATACAACTTTCTGAATTTAACAAATTGCTATTTCCAAATTTAACAAGTATCAATTCTGCATTAAATATATCTGCTTATCAATAAGCAGTTAAATTTTACAAGTAAAAAAGTGTTAAAATATTAAAATAAGTTCCATTAGTTAAAAACTATTAATGAAATACTTTCAATTTCTAGCTATACTTGTCATGCCCCCAACTGAATTTAAGATTCATTGCAACTTGAGTAAACATCCTCCAAGTTCTGTGCTATACAGCTGAAATGTCCCTGAGCAGTATAGGTTTGCAAAAGTTACTAATTTCTTTTTAAAGCACTATTTAAGGGCAATATCAACATACATTCAGGTCTCAGACAGAAAGAATGTATTAGGTTCCTCAAAATAGCAATTGAAAACCATCTTTGTATGGATCAAATACACTAGAGAATAAGCATCTCCATTTTAAAATTGCGTATTTAAAAATAAATGTATAATTTATTTTATAAATTTCAGCAGTAAAATCTGTGTGTATTAACTATTATAAAGTAAAAAAGACAACAGGGAAGTGCAATTATTTGCCAAAATCCCATTACATTACCTGTGTGCCAGCAGCACCCTGAAGGTCATCTGATTCAGTCCCAAATAACTTGGCAGCAAGTTTGACCAATCCCAGTTCCATTCAGTAATGGTTGACTGTTGATACATGGCAAGAAGCTATTGTTAGTTATTAATCAGTGTTAATATGATCAGTAAATTAAACCTCCAGCTGTGATATACTAACCAAGAAGGAGGGGGGTCTAGCACAAGGACTTAGACAGATGATATCAATCATGTCTACAGAAGAAGGTTTTTATTCCAATAAGACAGCAATTAATTTATAAATCCATTTGGGGATGTAGCCATTATTTATAAAAAGATAAATCAATTTTTTGAACCGTTATTCTTCCAACTGTTAATGGCATTCTGCCCAACCACTTTGTCTGAGAGCTTGACTCTTTGTTTGAAAAGCAAAATAATTGGCAACTTTTTATGTAACAGCAATTTACATTTTCTGCTGTCAGCAAAAAGTTTGTCATGAAAAACTTGGTATAGCTGGAATTCAAGATGTAACCTGTATTGTAATTAGAGTGACAGTTTACTTGTCTATTGTTTTGTAAGGCACTCCAGTCACCAGATGGTTATTATAAACAGCAGTAAGTCTAGATAATATGAACAAATATAACTCCATATTGCTTATTTAATAAATAAAAGCAATCTACAATAATGGTGGGCAGACAAAAGACTACACACAACATTCTTATGTTTACAAAACAGTAAGTCCTGTTGCATAATATTAATTTTCATTGTCAGTAACGGTCAAGCAGTGACTACAACATTCTTGGGAGGAAATAATTCAAAAATTATTGTGATAACACTAAAACAGCACTGAGTAGTTTAAAAAAAAAAAAAAAGATGAAGCAAGTCAAAACAATGGAAATAAACCTAAATAAACCTAAATAAGAAAAAACCTAAATAAACCTAAATAAGGTGCTGTGTACAGACAGCACTTCGTTCTTCTGGGAGAGCAGAATCAGTGCAATCCCTCCCCTTCCTTCCATCTTTATTTTATTCCCTTCCTTCTTTTAATCTAATTTTGTCCTTAACCGTCATCTTTGGCATGCACTTGAAAGTAATGTAGAAAAATAAAGGTGAAATACAGAGTAAGAAAGGGAGACAACGGTAGCAAAAGAAAGAATAATATAGTGTGTGGAAAGTAAATGAAGTAACAGTGAATACCTGATAAACAAGAAATAATGGAAAAAGAGTCAACTGAGAGAACAGTGGGAGTAGAATAACACAGACAACTCTTTTATACACTGAATTAAAAATAAATAAATATGGAGGAAGTACTTGTAAAATCAAGAGGGATAAAAAGGAGAAAATAAACAGCCAGTAGCAACAGTCATAAAAACAAATACGAAAATTAATAAGTATACCAGATAAAAATTCAGCCCACCAGACTGACCAGTTCTGTGAAAAAATAAAGGATCAGTTTGAAGTAAGTCACTTCAGGAAAGGAAAATAATTTCTTTGTAGCATTTTTCTTCGTTGATACTGTTGAGGAGTTGCATAGCCTAGACTTAATCTTATCAGACAATAGAGGAGCAGCAGCACTGGCAGAGATTGAGGTGTCAGGACAAATTGATAAAATCAAGAGCAACAAGTTACTAGGACCAGATGGTGATTATTCAAGATTTTTACAGGAATGTAAGAATGAAGTGGCTGAATTGTTAACAGAAATGACACACTTCCTAGAATCAGCTACTGAACTAGAGGATTGGAAGGTAAGAAATTTACATATTGTTAATAAAAATGCTAGAGTTGATCTCAAAATAGCGGTTCAAAAAGTCAGCCACCCTAATGTACTGCAATTTTTACATATACCAACAAACAATACATGGAATGTTTACTACAAATTATCTTTCAGAAAGCTTTTGAAATAATTTATTTTAAGAAATCCTCTACTGAGGAAGCTAAGAGCATGTCTACACTGCGTACCATAGGCATGCTCTTATATTGTTATATATTATATTATTATACATTATAATATGTTATATAGCATAGTGCAACACATTCTCTGTTTAGAGCGGAACCAGCTCTCTGGACTCACAACCAGTACTGCCACGCCTATTCCAGTTGGCCCTTCTAAGAGAAAAGTTTTAAGAAACAATACATAATTAAATCATTGACAAAATACGTTGTGAAACCAGTAGCTTGTTGGGACTTAGAATTTATGAAAGGATAAAATGCTAGCTGATCTATTAAAAACACATCTAATTACAATACATTTAAAGAAAATCAAGAAATTAATCATGGATTCTAAACTCCTAAGCTTCATGGCAGTTGCCAACCAGTAAGAACTTAAGAAGAACTGCATCCTTTGAGAAGAATAATTGTCCCTTGCCAGTGCTCTGGCATCTTCTATAGGTACTGGTAATAGTCTTCACAGGAAACCAGACACTGAGCTATACTGACCACTATTTTATAAACAGGCAGTCCCAAACCACTACATAAATTTGCAATGTTATGGTAAAGGGAATTAAATTATTTAATAATATTAAGCTCAGGAAATAAGTCTGTCATTGTCAACAACGTGGTTGGCATATGGTACTTTAAGGATCATGACCTACTCTTTTTTTCTTTTAAGATACTTTTCCATATTCAGGTAATAGACTTTTTGCGAAAAGTTTACAAAATCCAAAGCAATTTAGTATGAACTATCCCTTGTCATCTGTTGATTAATAGAGCACTGCAAACCTGTCATGTAGCAGAGGAATTCTGCCCTGAGTTGTCACTATTTGAAGGTCTTATTCTACCACACTATTAATGAATTGAGAATTGAGGCATGGTAAACTATTTTCTGCATTTCAAATTGGAATAAGTGATTCTGTAGCCCCTTAAATTCTATCAATTTAAGACATACATGAAGGGACTAGTGGAAGGAAAAAAAGATACTTTTAAAGCATGTTCCTCTGGAATGAGAAGCCTTGTGAAATTGGTATTAATCTCCTTTTTCAGGATATTAACACTTTTATTGCAACATGACAATGATTAAGCATTCATTAAACAAGTACAGAGGGAAAAACAAACAAACAGAAAACCAAAACAGATACTTTACAGCAATACACCTGGTGAAATAGTCCAAAATGCTCAAAACTGGGAAAGGAGATTACACTACTTAAAAGCAGAGCTGTATTGAAAAAGGACGTCTTTCTACCACAAGTCTGTAAAATTAATTTCATGCCACTGTAACACCACTTCTTTTTAAATATTTGAAATTGAGTGGTAGAATCAAAACTGTAGATGATGGATTAGGAAGACTTGAGAAATCATAGAATCATAGAATCGTCTAGGTTGGAAAGGACCTTCAAGATCATCGAGTCCAACCGTTAACCTATGATGGTGTAAGATTTTTTAAGTGTCCAAGTGCTATCAGAAACTACATACCATTTTGTGTAATGAATTCGTCATGTGGTGCTCTGGCAGAGATTTAGGCAACTAGATCTATTTTCTTTAATTGTTACATTATCAGGAAACTAGTTTCTATAACTAAATTATAATCCTTTACATATCACTAACATGGCTTAATTAAAAACAGAGAAATGGATGCTTTCATTTTTTTGTGTGTTTTTTCTCCTGCTTATTCTCACTGTTCTGGTAAATCTCCGTATTTCCAAAGCATCCTTTACTTTACTCTTCAACACTTCTGTGAAAGACTCATCAGGAAGATTCTAAACGTGCACTTGGAGTTTTACCATGATTTTTCAAAGGACTAAGACTAGCCCTATGTACCATTACACAGATGTAATAAATGTCAATGCTACTAATGGGCTTTCCTTCGCTATACTGAACCAACATGGAAAGTCTAAGTAAATGCAAATTGCTGTTATATGCAATAATTCTGATAAAAGAAAAGGACAATAATGGCTTTTTTAACATCATGCTATTGTAGAAGGTGCCCTCATTAGATTCCTGAGTAATAATATTCCTTTGCACTTCATCAAATGTGAACGCATGTAATTAATTCCGCTTTCATAATTTCAGTCTCTGTCATTATCATGATCATAATAAGATCAACAAGTAAAAATTATACTATAACCAAGGTTTCAGATTTTCACAAACCTGATTGAACACTTTTACACAAGATTGTCTGTACACCTGGACAGGGTTGAAGACAGGCTGCTCTTCTCTGCCCATCAGTGTCAAAGGCAGGCATTGACTGGAGGTAACACCATCCTCAGAAAAATTCTCACAAGACAGCTGCTCTTTCAAATATTCCTTTTAGAAGAAAAAACAACCACAAAACAGTATGTGCCACCCAGCTTTCTAAGTGAAATTTGTTTAAATTTCAAGCATAACTTTACAGTGTGCTTGACAGAATTTCCTTGTATTACAGGAGAGAATAAGTAATCTCTTAGAAAATGGAAACATTTTTAAGAGTAACACCATTTTACAAACAATAAATGACCTCCATGAACATCCATCCAACTGAAGCAAATCAGAATAATCTAAGCTATTGTTTTGAAATTTTCATCAAATTATATGTTTCAGTTCTCATTTAGTATATATGTTAGGTATATGTGGAAAAACAAATGTTTTCTATGAGCTATCCTAATGTTTGATGGCTATTATATGATTTATTTTACATGACAAAGTATACACAAATATTTAAAGTTATTTTTGGACAGCATTAAATCGTTACTACATGACTATAAATTAATTGTTTGATGAACATGTTCAAACCAGTTATTTAAACACAGGAAATAAAAATTCTGCCACTATTTAAAGCTATTTTTAACTGTTTAAGCATTCAAAGAATACAAGTAATTTATGATTTACATGGCAATTTTAGAAACTATACTGTAACAGACACATGATTATTTTGGCCACAATCTTTTCTGTTTTCACTTCTTAAACTACTATGTAAATAAATCATCATTGCATGCCAATAAAATGTTTTGATTAAATAGAACCATTTTACAAAGAGCTAGATAATGAAACACTTACAGATCTATTTGCTGGAAGGACTACTGTGATTAAACAGTTTATTGTTATTAAAATGAAGTCCATAATGATAGGATTGCCATAACATTGAGCAAGTACTCAAGGTGAGTCTGCATTAAGATGGGTAGATGCAAATGCTCCTCTTACTTTGCAGTACTACTGAGATGATACAAATTTTCACACACAGGTGAGGGAACGTGTAAACTAGCTGCCAAGGCACCCTGTGCTCCTCAGTGGGTCTTTCTAAAAGAATAATTTCATCATCACTTTAAACTGATCCAACTGTGGTCTGGCCTGAAAGGCAGAAGTTCCCTCCCAATCCACATAGACTGTAGCTGTTTCTCCCTTATGTTGGCACTAGCATATGTTGTGAAATCAGCCAGAAAAACGAAAGGTTTCAGCCAGATAAACAAGCCACACGATTTCTCGTACTAGTACAAAAGGGGGTCTAGGAGTGGGAAAGCACGATGGCAAGAGAAAGAGCAGGACTGTCTCTCTCTGCTGGTTGCAGCCAATTGTCAGGACTGGTTAAGACAATCATGAAATCATCTAAGTGTATTTAGAAAAAAAAAAAGTCAGAGCTTTTTTGGTTTAAGATAACAGCGTAATCCAGCTGTGAAAACACACCCTAAATCTCTTACCTACTTTTTTCTCAGCCTACAAAAATGTTTGGTTTTTTTCCCATTCATTCATGACTTCATGCCATAAGAAAGATTTTAAAGTTGTGGTGAAGGGGGTTATTTAAAAGCTATTGCTATACATTTAACAATTTTTCATTAATGTACTGCCTTCCATGGACACATTTTCACAAAATCTGTAGACAGGTCTAAAGCGAACCAGCCCTCTGGATGTCCCAGAGCCAGCAGAAGCAGATTCTGTTGATTTTTCAGAGAGATACTGGAAATTGCTGTCCATGCTTGCTAGGATTTGAACATTCCAAGTGGTATACAGCTCACCTTCCAGTACAGGCGTTTTTCTGTCTTTAGAATACTGTGGATTTATGTTTTGACAAAGAGCCTTATTCAACACAGGTAAAGGAACACTTTAGTATAGTACATATTGTAGACCCTGAAAGGGTCATGTTTCAAAAATGTGAAAATAAAGAGAAATGAAATCACGTTTGTAAACATGTGAGCTATATCCTCACTATGAATGACTCGGGATGAAATCAAGTAGACAGAGTATATTGAGCCTGACAGCTCAGGAGAGTTGGTTTCTCTTTGGTGGCCATTAGTCAAAAATGCTTTTAAAAGTTATTATTCTTTTTCAATAAATACATGAGGGACTGTAGGCTGTTTTGAGTTCTACAGTATCTATCATAGATCTTTATAACATCATAGCTCTATTTCCAAATACAGCTTCCAAGAATCTATATCCCTTTTCCCCTGCTCTTCTAAGGAAAATTATTGAGAAGAACGATTTTCTGTCTCATCACTTTGTTCTCTATTCACACACAATTATTAAGCCGTGTAGCGTAAAGATCTCCAAACTATTTTTAAGAACAGGATCTCTTGATAGTCCAAAGAGTCTCCAAACAAAAGGATGGACCTTTGAACAGACAATCAAGTCTATTTCTTGGTAGTCAGGCACATTAAACATAATCTAAGTTATCAAAAATAATATTGAAAAGTGCATTATTATCATTCCATGCTAAGTATTAAAATGTTTTATAATGGTTTCAAAGGCAATTTGAAGTAGCACGGTTAAGTCCTTCTGTGAATCAAGCTGGTCAGGGTTTTTTTCTTCTTTTTTTTTAAAAACAAGACAGTTTTTTCCATTGAGAAATATTCTATATTTAACAACGCTCTTACTAGCTCCAGAAATTCAAGGAGAGACACCTGGGATGCGGAAAGTCAGGCTAAAGTCCCTCTTCCACCTAATTCTCTCAGATTTTTACCTCCTATTGGAGCTGCTCCACTTTGTATAAATAACTGAATACTCACAGGAGTCGGATCTTGGATCAAGGTCTCCAGAACCCAATATGGGCATTCTACACCTTCAGCTAGAGTATGATTCTATTTTTGACCCTAGAAGTTACAGAATGGATTTTTACAGCAATTTCCACAAGGCAAAACAACTCCAACAGGGGAAAAGGACAAAGTTCCATGCTGGTAGCTAATGGTCTAGCAGTTTGGGGAGTTTGTTTGGATGTGTGAGATGCAGATTCAGTTCCCTGGTCTAAATCAGGCAGAATTTGAGCCTGCATATACTGTCCCCTAGATGACTGCCCTAACTACTGGATTATATGCTATTTTTGGAGGTCTTGCTCATCATCTTTTCCTCACTCCATTAAACTTAGAGTAATCCTGAATGTGCTCCAGGTGAAAAGGTTTTGTCTGAACTGTATTACAGTAATAATTTTCACTTCACTTCCTGAACCATTTAATTGTTTGAGATGAAACTTGAAAAGATTCTGTATTGTATTAATATTAGGTTGCCATCTCTACATACATGCTTACATTGCTTCTACAGCTTCCAAATGCAGATGCATAAAGGTTGCTTTTAAGCCTATACTTAGGAACTAAACAGTTGATCTGATTTTCAGAAGCACAGTGCCAGTACTGAGCTGCTCTCTATTCCCTTCATACAGACATAGCTGCCTAATTGGTTTTTTTTTTTTTTTTTTTGCTATCATATTTTTTTTAAAGAAAAATCTTGGCCTATGCCTATATTTGCATTATTTTGCATTTTATTATAAACACTTCTGTACACTTGCAATGATCTTAACAGCACCTGCTTATGCATTCAAGGAATAGTAATTTAGTAATTAAAGCTAATAAACAGAACTTTCTTAATTAAGCTGTGTAGATCTGTGTTATCATACAATTTAAGCAAACCTGTGTTTATTCCAGTGTATAAAATCAGAATGCTTTTGGTAACTTGGGGCAATTTAGTACAGGCTTAGAAATAAAAAGATAATTCTTTTACATTGCCCAAATTCCATGTGCAATAAAAAAATCTGAATTTGTTTACTGTAATTTTGAAAGCACTTTAACTGAACAGAGTTATCTAGATTAAGTAAGGTTTTCATGTGGATACATTTACTTCCTCAGTACAGCCGTAGGGTTTGTTTTTTAAATCAGGAGAATTGATTTACCACATTTAATTTTACTTCCTGTTACACTCAATTTTTCAATAGCCTTGCTGATTTTTTTTTGAAATTTTTTTTACTGTGTTCAAACTCCTAAAATGTATCTATGGTCTACAATACGAATCTGAAGGAAGTTTATGAGCCATACTACTGTTTAAGTACATAAATAAAATCTACATTGTTTCCCATAAAGTAATCTTTTCTGTACAAATGCAGAAAAGCCTAAACTGAATGAATTCTATTACAATACAATATAGGATTTCTTATTGACTTTAGCAAGCATTATCACCTCCTTGACTAACCCTTAGCTGCCAGCAGACGCTGCCTCAGGCCAGTACACACCTAATTGCTCGGTAAAAAGGCCGTTTCCCTACCTCATTGAGCCAGATGATGTGATAAATTTGCTTTAGGTACTCGCTGCCACCTGGTTTGTGGCAGATATCCAGGACCATCATGTTTATTTTCTGCTCAGTGAATCCAACTGCAATACCTCCTTCCTCTAACGTTGCACCTTCTACTGTGACCGAGGCACTAGAATATAGAAAAGATATAAATATTCTTAAGTTAAAATTCTGAAAATCAAACTATTAATACAAAAATCAGCCAAAACTACATGTTAAAAAAAATTATAAAGATTTGGCTTGCACAAAACAAATGTTGCTGTATATATATCTCTAAAGCCTTTATACAAAAACATAATAATGCTAAATAACATTTTTTTTAATTGTAAAAATTTTAATGATTTTATTCTGAAAGATGAAAACATAAAACATTCTTTACTCTAGGGACATACAAGGAGCAAATATTTTTTTATTTTCTTTTCCACTAGAGAAGTATCTTTGCTACTAGAAATGGCATTTGCATTCTATCTTTGGTACATTTTTCTTTGCCTGTCGCTGCACATATTAAAGCCTAATTAACATGTCAGAAAGGTAGCCATTACTCTAAGTATAGGTTAGAAGTTTTAAATTGAAGTCTTTTTCTTCCCACTGGTGTGGTGGTAACCATTTCAAAGGTACCTATTTGCCACTTGTTGCACTTTTTGCCCCGTACTGTTCCTTGTTTTACTTCTTAAAAGTATTTGTGTAAAACTGCTACAAAAAAATCTGAAGGAGACCGGACCAAATGACTTGAAAAATATGCATTCAAAACCCTGACCATTGTTAGACTGCTGTCTTTGCATCCAAGCAAAAGTTACCAGCTCTGTACTTGCTAAGTATTGTACATGGATAAAGTATTAAGAAAAAAAAGTACTAAAACCAATTATTTTCCTCAAATGTTAGAGCTGCAACACAGATATATGTTGACACCTTGACACAGATGTGTCAAGAACTTGAAAGACCAACAAGAATATATTATCCCTTCTACAGTCATTATTGGATTAATTTAAAATCTACCAAAGAAGCATTCTGAATTAAAAAAAAAAGCAATATTTTAATTTCTTAGAAGTAAAACTAAAAAAACCCCAAATATTTTGGTACAGTCAGCTGTAAGTTTGTTGCAGCTGTTGAAAGTGTGCCATGATTACAAAGTTAGTTCTAAAAAAAGGCAATATTTTAATTTTTTAGAAGTAAAACTAAAAAAAAATCCCCAAATATTTTGGTACAGTCAGCTGTAAGTCGCTGTTTGTTGCAGCTGTTGAAAGTGTGCCATGATTACAAAGTTAGTTCTGCTGAAAGTTGCTGTTTGACCTGCAGGCTCACTTAAATGCTACACAGCTGATGGACATTAAAGTTGATATTGCTTCCACATGCAGCTTCAGAACGTCCTACAGAGCAAATAGTTTCAAAATATAAACTATAATTTTGTTCTTTGCTGTATGGAAGTAAGTGATACTCTGTTATGGCGTATTTTACAGAAAAGCTTCAAAGAAATTGATCTTTAAAATTAAAGCACACTTAAGGCTGATCTTTCAATGCCATATAGAGATACAACCTGAATTTCTTGTCAAACTTAGTGACTGACATTGAAAAAGTTGAGGACCTCTGACAAAGGAGTGTATCAGTGTCAGCGCCCAAATTGTACACTTTCCTGTCCGTCACTGTGCAGGTGAAGCAGATGATTGGATTCAGTCAGTGCTATGATTAATGAGTTCCTCTCTGGATTTGGGACTGCCTATCAATCATGTCATTAGGAAGAATGTGCCCTGAAAGAGGCAGACCTCAGCCAAGGAATAACTGCATTCATCTTAATCTGTATATGCACCCAGCCAGCCAAGTCAGGGTCACCATGATGAAAAACAATAATCTTCAACTCGACAAATTACTTCGCAAAGACAGACATTTCTTTTCTTCTCGGGACGTGTGTTCTTCAGAATCTAACGTGACTGTTTACAGCTCTGGTGCTACCATAAAATGAAGGTTATTTTAATGAATAGTAATGCTTTCAGGCAGTACACAAGACAGGCAATGCATACAACTGCCACTTTGTGAACCTTTCACTGAAGATTATTTTTTTTAATTTTCCTAAAAACTAAGATAAATTTGGATGCCACAATGGAAGAACCTATATAATATTTAGACTTTTTATGTAGCCAGCAGTCCTGATAACAATAACGTGACACAAAATCAAGCAAGACTTTTTCTTATAAAAATCCAGTGTACTTCAAACATGTTTCCACAACTGTGTAAGTGAACCCCAAATAAATTTTTGCAAATCTATGTTTTTTATTTTCTTCCACACACCGTATTTATTAAAAGCCTACAAACATTTAGAAATACGAATATATATATAAATGCATGTGCATAGTTACCCACAAAATCCTTTAATTATGAAAATGTTACACAGAACATAATTTTACACCGACTTAGATTTTCAAATATAATCATTCCTATTTCAAACAAATCACGTAAACATCACAAGTCTCCTCTTGAAAGATCTGCTTTTAGTTTAGTGATTATGTGACTGCTACTTAGTTTAATTGATATTTGAATTTCAGCTTTAATATATTAGTTTTACAATTTGCATTTGTAATAATATTTTATCTCTACATTGCGTATCTCAGCTATTTATTAACTAGATTATTTTTTTCCCAGAAATTGACTCATGATATTTGAATATAAAATGGAAAAATAACATTTATGCTAGACTTCTGTTGCAGAAATCCCACTGAAGTCAGGGGACTTAGTTTCATAACTGCCTCATACAACTACTCACTTGGAGAGCAGGTAATGTATTCTTCAGTTTCTTAAGCTTAATTTTAGGAGCCCTAGTCACAAACTAGTTCTCACTTTGGCTGACACTGTACACATACAGAAAACATTTTCCCACATTCATTTCCCACAGTCTGACACCTGATGGATAATACAGCATTTTTGCAGTATGTTAGAAAAGAAAATAGAGTAGTATATTAATTTAACATTCTCAGCTTCAGAAGTGGTGCAAATACTACAGTTTTAGTTTTTAGAGGTTATCCACAATATTGTCTTACCCTGCATTTGTATTTTTTAAGAAATACCTGTTCTCTCAGTGACATTAGAAATTATATTATGGAACCATTCTGTTAAGTATCAATTTACACACTACCATTATGGGTTTTTTATTCTATGATTCTTTCAGTCACTGGCATCTGGCTTCCATCTTTTAATCACTGGATTAGAGCTTGTAAATTAGTATTAAATGGAAATGTAAAGATTACAAAGGTCAACGTCAATGAGCATTTGTGTGACACTATTACTGCTTAGCGCTACTCCTGTTAACTGACTACTCATAGAAACCAGATACTGTCCCTTAAAGCACTGCGTGAAAGTCTGTTCACTGACCTACAATCACTATATCCTTTGTTTATATGAACAATTACTGTCGGGGCAGCAACAACTGCAACCTTCAAGAATATTCATTAAAAAAAAGGCAATCTTACTTTCAGTAGTCAACAATTTAATTCAGTAAGTCATGTAACTCCAATAAATCTAATATTGGAAAGCTGATGAATAGTATTTTTACAGAATGGTGCATGACTTCAACATTAAAACAGACTGGACTAGGAACACATTGACATGTGCACAACTCCCTGAAAAATCATTATAAGGATATAAAACACTTGGACCTTAATGTCAAATCTGCAGGGAAGGTTGATATTTCCTCAGTAAGGCACAGCAGGGTACTCTCCTTGTCCTGTTTTGATACAACCTACTTGCCCTCAGGGTTTGTTATGTTTTAAAATGAAGTATACTTACTTTTTAATCACAGATGAACAAGGAAAGCTTTTCATAGTCCCTCTTAATTTAATCACCATAGCAAAATTGATTTACAAATATATTGTGGTGCCTTCTAGTCAGTGTACCTGTTCATATTCTGAAGATACACCAAGTAAATTGTCCACATTTTTGGATCATCATGAAAATATGAAATTTCTAAGTACTATGAAGACGCTGGTCCGATGAAACAACCGTGCTTTACTGTTTCAACAATGCAATTAAGTTGCAAGAACATGCTATAAAGCCATCAACATTAAGAACTAATCCATTTCATGTAAGATCACTGTTCATCTGTTTTTTGTTGTTGTTTTTTTTTTTTTTAAATTGAACAATAGCCACAAACATGCCAATAATCCAGTGAAATAAAAAACAAACAACAGCATTTGAAAAATACTACATTCTTACCAGTCTGTGCTCAGTTTTCTTGCCTTCAGCAACTGGCTTTCAATCCAATTTGGTCTTTGCTGTTCAATGCTTTGTATAACCTTCTGGGTCACTTGCTTAGGACCACTTTTCTGTTTTCCCATAATACTTTCTAAGCACACACGAACTAAACTGAGTTTTTCTTTGCTCCATCTGTCAAGTGTTGCACCTGTTAAAAGTTCTGCAGTATTTCCATCCTCAAATATCCGACATATAATTACAATCAAGTTCCAGACAAGCAGACCAGCTTTCTTCAATTCAGCAAAGTTTCTTGACATTTTTCTCTCAGCCAGAAAAAAGAAATACTTAATTGGGGGAGGCAAACATGCAATCACTGTAGGTAACTTGCTGATTACAATAGATACTGCCTGAGCTGCAAGCCTTGTGAAGCCTTAAAAAAAGAAAGAAAAGAAGATATGATTAACATTAGCATTCTAGTTCTATCACAGCATGCTTCTGAATGTTGTATGATAATTTCTAACTTTCTTTTGTACTGAAAATGGGTAAAAAGCTTAAGTACTCAACACTGTAGTTCGACTTATATGGTGCTTGCTCCACATAAATCCCACAAAATCTAAACAATAACACAAATTAAAAACAGAGAACCTAGAAAATTTAGAATTCAGACTGTGACCCTCTTAACAGTTAGTCGGTCTGTGCACAGTTATTACAGAACAAATGAAAAGACAACACCCAGGTATTCTGAATGGTAAAAAAGTTGTCTTCAAAATTGTAGTGCAATAGTTTTTCAACTTCACGAGTGGAGCACTGCACTAAGTGTCTTGGGATATTACATACATTCATAATCTTTACTTTTCTATCAATCCCTTTCTGTGTTCAAACCTACAAAACTTTAGTTCATCAGCTTTCAGATAAGCATGCACACTATAGAGCACTGCATTTTAAACATTCCAGATCTTAAAAGTAGCTATAGAAGTAACTACAGAAAATATGCTGCTCAAAAAACAAGACTTATCTAAAATGAAAAAATATACCAAAAGGTGATCCACAATACGGAGTCAAATCAAGATCTAAAAAAACACCAAAACAAAACACAAACAAACCAAGAAAACTCCTGACTCATTGCACCTGTATTCTCACCTTGTTTAAAAAAGTCAAATCTGTTCTAGGTGTCACACAGCCAATTTAATTTGTCACTAAGTCTGAGCCTTACCTCTTAGCTTGCATATCAGTTCAGGCTTAGCAATAGCCTAAAATAGCCATACAAGTTCTAGATTAAAGTGAGACTGCAGCGAGAGTGCAGTGCACACACTGCTGCATAAATGTGCCTCAAGGTGCTGAAGAGAAGATGATATATGGATTGATGCCCTGCCTTGCCCACAATCTGCATATTCAAAACTTCATGCCAGAATATACTACCGTGATACTACTGTATTGAAAATAATCAGGTAATATTTTGGTGGCAATAAATTTATGGTGAAGTGTTTCCAAAAGTTAGCCTTTTGAAATGATGGAGGCTTTAGGCACTGTAGGCTATGAAAGTATATACCAGAAATCATCTCTACATCCAATCACCTTCAAAACACCTCCTATTACATATGTTATTTCTCTTTCTTCAGTAACTGTTTCAACACCAAGCAGTAGCAAATTCCATACCAGTTTCAGTGCTATTCAAACAGAAATTGCTGTTGTAAAGTTGGGATGAATAAGTTGTTATCATTTCAGACAACACTATGTATTTAAATTTAAACAGTCCCGACTGAAAAGATGATAACTAAGAGAAGAACTGGTTACAGCCAGTAAGACAAGAGCATGGACATTATGCTTTACTCTGCCTTGAATCCCATCTTACTACTGCCAGATGCTAAAAATATTTTCAGTACCATTATTATCAGTACTACAATACTCATTATTTTTAAGAACATGTTTGTGTATGTATGGGTGTAAGCCTCAAGAAAGAGGTACTGAATTTTAATGATAAGTACTTTAAAAAAAACATGGGGTGCTTGGAAACTGTTTTGTTCATTGTCAAACTGCAATGCTGATGAATTATAACTGTTCAATTTTGATATGTACTCATTAAAGGGGTAATAAACTTTCATGACAATTTTATAAAACAGTATAAATTTCACTCACATTTCCCAGATTCTTTTCTCTTCATTTCCCGAGGAGTATAATTCCATTCCTTTGGTACCGTTTTCAGTAAACTTTCAGGAACTATTTGCTTGTGCTGGTATGTTCCATAGTTTTCTGTTGCCTCCCATGAATGCATCAAAGAAATTATCTGCTTCACTATACCCTTGACTGAATTAATCAAAGTCAACTTTAAACATCTGATAACCTCTGGCTCCGACTCACCACAACTGGAAACTTCAGAAGGAAGAATTATTAAATATTCAGTAAGTGTAGTCATTTGTGTAAATCTGTTTCAGAAAGAAGTGTTTCAGAATTCTTATGGAAAGAAAAGTAAAAACATTATGATTCATAATAACTTAGACCTATTGGTCTGTTACAAATTAAAGAAAGAGTATAAAGCAAAACAATGTAGCATCTTGTACCATCTTAATACAGTACTGACAAAAAACACAATTTAATTTATTTCCTTCATCCTTATTTCTCCATCAATATATTTCTAAAAATTTAATTTAAGCTGACTGATGTCTTCCTTTTTATATAGAGTACATTTAATTACTTGTTAGACATCAGTGAGGCAAACAGATATACCATTTTTCTTTTTCTACTTCCTTGTCTTGATAGTACTAATGAAGTTGCGTTTATTAGATACCCAAACTCCCAAACTTTTATACTAGAGAAGAGCAAAGGAAAAAAAGACATTTTGGAAACAAAAATGCATACAAATAATAGTCATCAACAGAGACATAGCATGTTATCAGAGATTGCATGTTGGAAATAGGCCATCCTAAATACAGCTATTGACATTACAACAAGTATCAATCTTCTCCACATTCTTAATACCACAGAGAATTGCAGTTTCTCCATTGCCATGGAGCAGCAATTGTCAGGCAGAGTGCTGCAGGACGTATCGGAGATGTCTTTTGACATCTTAGGTCCTTTGTGCTCACTTTTACTTGTCTGTACTTTTTGTTGATCTAAGTTTTATTCCTCTCTGCATGGCCTTTCTGGAAGCTTCCATGCAATATTTCTGTATTTTGTTTCCTCTTACACCTTAGACTTCTACTTTTTGCAATCCTATTTTTCTCTGAGGAATACCTGAGAACTTTTACCACTGTTTTCTATTTTGTGATATTCATAATTCTATTTCCCCTCTTCCATTCTCCCATTTTCTTCTTTTCTTTTCTTTTGAGCTTTCTTGCATTTTACCTATCATCAATTAGTTGCAAGATCATCTTTCTAAACCTCACCTCTGTTTTCTGGTTGAATACTGCTTTTCCTTGGGGGCAGCGCTAGTTGCTTTAATTGTGAGGGCAGCTCTCCCTCTCCATGGAAAACTGGGAGCCTGCTTGCCTGTTGACAGCAGAGTCTCTATGCCCATCAGACCATGTCTCCCTCAATAGGAGTCCTTCCTTTTCTTTTTCCATTCTTCTTTAATTGTTTCTCACTTTTAAATTGTGGCAAAGGTCTGGAGCTATTAAATGCACAGAGCCAAAGAACTTGTATTGGTAGAGAGCTACAGAAACTACCTGCTGCCAGCCTGCTGATAAGACAGACACTTAAAGAAATCAGAATTCTGGTTGACCACACCACTCTGTAACCTCTGCTTTCTTCAGAATTTTCATCACTCCTACGGTGACTTGCTTGCTCAAAACACTTCAATTAAACTATAATTTTGAAGTAAGCTACCACCATTTCATCCGCTTTATTAAAGTAAAAATAATATGCACTACATGTCTGAAAACTGACAAGGTTTAACATCAGATCTTAAATACTTATTAATAAATTAAATACCTGTCATATTGTATAAGCAATTCCACAACTGCTCTTTTTCCATGTAGGTCTCAAAAGCGATGCCAAGAGATTTGGGTGATAAAGTGCAGTAAGACAGTACTGTGAAGAGTGTTTCAATCAGAGAAGGCTGTTTGTTATTTATCTGTTCTAAGAGAGAACATTGTTTATCATAATTCAATACTTCATTTCCTTCAAAATTAACAAAAACATGGTTACAATAATTTCCAAGTAATTCAAGTTCACAATAACAGATAGTATTAATCAAAACAAACTGCAAACTGTATCTGAACAATATTTCAAAGAATAATAATACTTACAGATACTGAAATCTGATCTTCCTCTGCATAATGACATTTGACTGTCTTCCTGAATTATATACAGCCATTAAAAAAAGACTCAAGCATGTTTACAAACTGTGGAATATGCCTATTTAATTACAAATGCACTCAGTATATAATTGGAATTTGATTATTTACTGAATATTAATCAGAAGTAAACTGTACTACTTCTGTAGAATCACAGTCAAAAAGTTATTACTACTCAACTCCTCTTACCAATATATTAGTCACATAAAATAATAGAACTCTATTTAGTTATGTAAAATAAAATAAAGTAGCAGCTGCATACTCCCCCAAATGGGTTGGCTTTGTTTTTCAGTATAAGATGAAATTGAGAAGAAATCAATTCCACAAACCAAAATCTCAGCCCTACTAAGATACAGATATCTATGTTTTTAAAGACAACTACTGATTTTCATAGGGTTGAGTGGTAACAGCTTACATAACATGTATTTCTAAATGTTTTTCATAATCATTATAAAACACTCTCCCAGCTGAAACATAATGATGTGTTTAAACCTCTTTGAACAAATGCAACTCAATGGCTTTCACTTGTGCTAATGTCAAAGACCGCAGCTTCCCACATATTTGTGGAATATGCTTTTGATGTTAACAATCATAACAAATGACCAGAGCCAGAACCAATTAAAGAATTCTAATTTAAATTTCTAGTTTGCAAAACTGAAAGTTTCTGTAAAACTGATTTAGATAAAATTATACTTGAAAATGTCATTGTTTTATGCCAGTTTGGCTGCTCTTATCTTTAGCCACCTGTGCAGGAGAAAGATGGGAGAGACTAAATTTCTAGGCTGCGTTTTTCTTGTGGTTCAGACAGCCTTCAAAATCTAGCACAGTGGAAAATTGCTGCTTTCCACCTAGCTCTGAGTAACTTGAGAATGTTGTGAAATTCAAAAATCTCATTTTACTCTCCTCTGAATTCCTACAATCTAATCCACACATTATTGTAAACCATTCAGTCTGGGTAGTGTGCAACCTTAATAGAAAAAGCCGATAGGATGTAGAAAGCTGAAAAAACAGACCAGCAATTTCAGAACCAACAAGCTGTGTTTTTTTTTTCCCCAAGGCAGGAGACAGTTCAGCAATAAGAATTTTTTTTAGTCAGCTTTTTTTCCTATGAGTTGAATGAGCTGACATATTTTGCTAAGACACCTTCCAATGCCAGATGCTTCTGAGTGAAGAATCAAATGGATTCCACTAATTCACCAGCGATACGGATATGACAAAGAAAGAACCAAGAAAGCAGAAAAAGCAGTTCAAAAAGGCAAACCCAGAGGTATTCAAACTGTGAGATGAAAATTTGAATTGAACTTCGATTATACTACTATAAGTATTTTTTTCCAAATTAATTTATCCAAATTCTAGGGAGGAGGGTTTGCTGAGATTTTAAATCTTATGTAAACTGCTTTTGCAGAACATGATGGGAAATTGCTTTGTTTAAAGGGGCTTATGACTGGAAATTAAACCCAAATTTGCTTTATGATTGTGCCACATGGAAAGTTTGAGTCACAACTTATTAGTAACTTTTCTAATCAACTTAGTGCTACCAATAAATTTAGATAAATGGAAAGAAGTGGAAAAGAATTCTGTAGAGGGTTAACATATATCTTCTTACAGCTAGTATATGATATAAGTCTTGTGCTTTTAAGCAAAGATCTTCAGGAATCCACTGGGAAACCATTCCGAGGATAAATGTAACAAGATATGTAAGCTTTCATCAGCTTTTTCTTGTTTTACCGTGAAGTAAATGTTGCCATTGTTGTAAAAATATCTAACCTTTCAAAGCTCAGGTTGAAAAGAGTTTTCTGACTGATAAACTGGCATGGATCATAGAATCATAGAATCACAGAATAGTTTGGGTTGGAAGGGACCTTAAAGGATAATGTCAGGTGGTTAAAAGATTCAGCTAGTTGATCAGTATAGCTGGTTAATATTATGAATTACGAGTCTAGTAGATTTCTCTTGCCTTAGAATTTTTCTTTAACGTTTATTAGCTCACCTGTCATAACATTAAATATTCATCTTAGTTCAAACTCCAATGCAGTCTTCTTGTTAATCATCACATAAGAACAGTATTTATATGATAGGCATCATACTTATTGCCCACTGATGCTTCCCTCTATATATCTCTCTTTTTTCCACTCACTGTATTTGTATATCAAAAGCTAATCTGTAAAGGGAATCTAAAGCTCCTATAGGTAGCTCAAAGGAGATGCTTCTTTTTCATTTTAGCAGGACTTAACATCCATACATAAATATGGCTATATACTTATCTGAGGTACCTGTTAAAGAAAATCTATTTGTTATTTCCATATAGCATAATGTTCCATATGCACAGAGGATGCCAAAAGACATATAAAAATAATATTATTAATAAATATCTTTGTAAGAAAATTATGTATCTAGTGAATAACAGCTATACTCTAACCAGTCATCATGAATCATTCTTCGTATGACAAACTAATGCACTTAACCTCTTGGGATAGCACCATGTATTTTAAAAACATATCTTCAGAGAGGCAGACTTACAAGAGTAATTTATCCATATTTCTTTCTTACTGATAGAAATACCTCCCAGTAACTTGCTGACATTATCACACTCATCCAGCTCTTATCTGCTACTGGTTTAGCCATGAAATGAATCTTACGGAATTTAGAAAATCTTCTGTTATTGACTCTAGTCTTCTCCTTCCCTAGTGAATCCTTACAAGACAGACAAGCTATAAACAGTTATGCTGTCTTTTTTGACCAAAAGAGGTAGTCAAAATTCAAATTTATACATGCTGTTTCATTTAGGAAGAGAAACTGAAGATGAAGCAAGTTATTTCTTATACAGTTCTTTTATTTGTAAAGAGCATGAAACTTCTGCTTTCTTTATAGTTTAAATCACAGCAGCTGATGAGGATATAAAGAATGCAAAAAGGATATATTTTATTTGTTTATAGAACCACATCTTTCAGCAGGCACTCTGCACTACTTGCTTCTTTGCACTATATTCTCAGTGCTTCTTCTGTCACTGGCTTTTTTTCTATTGTTTTTCTATATCTGTTCTGGTAGATCATTTTACTTGTCTCTCATAGAGTTGCTCCTCTCCAATGCAATCATTCTCCAGTAAGTCTTGACAGCTAGAATCTATTGTAACTTTGAATATGACTTCATTTTGGCAGAAAGTCTATTATTTTAGTCTTTAACTCCAAAAAGAAATTTTACATCATATTACTTCTATCCTGAATGAAATGCAGATGTTAGCCTTACCCATTTCAATTTAGTAAAACTCAAATAATAATATCCCCTGCATTAGCTGTTACCTGTGAATCCAATGAATCCTAAATTTGTGACAACTAAAAAGCTCAACACAAGACAAAACGACTTTAAGAAGCTTTATATAATCTGCCCATAAATTATTAACAAATCAGTAAACTACTTCTGTGCCTATATATTTATATGTCACCAATTCCACAGTATTTTACTCTCATTCAACTCCCTTTAGAATTTTTTCTCCCTAAACATTTTATGTTCAACTATCTGACAAGAAGCCTCCATGAATTTCTGGGTTAATGGCTTCTGTGAAAACTATCTTACCTGTGTCAAATAGAGAAAATCATTACTATCAGAATACCTCCAGCCCTGGTTTTGTGGGATAGTATGAGTTTAGTCCTATGGCCACATTACCTCCTTTGTATTACTCCTTGTATTGGGATCAACACTGAACAGCTTACCCTCTTAAAATGTATTCAGTCTAGAGCTCTACTGTAGCAAGAAGTTCCTACCAGAAATGACTAGGTCTTTGAAAAGCTTTCCATATAACCATATAGCATAATCACAGAGACTGTCACAGATATATCACAGAAATTGCCTCCACACTTTGTCAAGAGAAGGTATGTGATTCTCAGCAGGGCTCTATTACAGTCTGAATGTAAATTCCTATTTGTTATTTCAGAAACTCTGTAACATCTGTTTACAGTTTTCTTTAGCTTATCACTGGGAAGTCATCAAAAGGAACAGGATATGTGATTAAGGTCCCTTTTCTATTGATCTTCCAGCTAGAAGTACATCATGCCTTCTATCATTTTACCACGTCGGTTATGCAGGTACAGTATCCAATAAGCTCACTGGTCAGATGGATATATTGAGGAGATGCCACTTTTAAAATAATTTTCTAATCTTGTGTTTTTAGTCTACCATGATACAGTTTGCTATCATGAAGAAGCTAAGAAAACTTTCAGGTGTTCTGGAGTTTGTACTCACAAGCCTCCTCCTGGATGATCCACAAATATCTGGAGGAGAGCGCTACCTCTGCACAAGCATACAAATTCTTTTAAGAGACTTACTTGTGCTCTCCAAATGAGGACAGTGTTCCAGATTAACCCCGAAGTTTTGTCAAAAAACCTGCAAGACTGTATTTCCCCAAAATTGGGTGTGGTTGAACCATGGGACTAGCAGAGTTGCTAGTTTTTCCAGTTGCCTAGTAGACTGTGTCTCAGGATTATTAAATCCAAGGAGTTATTCCAAGGAAGTACAAAAATAATGACTTTCAAGTACTGCAAATAAAAGTTTTTAATTGTTACACAGATTTAGCCAATGCCAGGATTTTAATGGAGATGGTAATTTATCTAAGGAATGTACATTTTCTTTTGTAATAACTCACTTCTGTTACTAGAAATTTAGTGTGATTCCTAAGTGAGGTCAGTCGGTAAAGCTACTACCTTTCACTGTTCTTTTAGGGTAACTTACAAAAAATCAGTCCTATTTACCTTTAAATGCCTAAAATTTAATTAATTTAATTAAAATTTAATTAGTGCTTAAAATTTACCTTAAAATACATTATGCATTGTGACAGTTAAAGAGCTGCTTCACAAGGGGCAAAGAATTGGAATGGGGGAAAAAAAAAATCTTTTAATTCTACAAATACTTTTTCAAGTAATTTCTCTTGCCAGAAATCGGTTTATAAAGCACAGTCTTAGAAAATTCTTCATATCTATTAGTGTCTAGGGAGTTGGCTGATACTGCACCACAAAGTTTTATTTTCTCAGTGGAAATCCTCCCTTCCCCACCCTGCTTATATGTGCAAGGTAAATTACCTCTTTTTGAAGCAACTCTCATTTCTTTGGGTCCAATTTCCGATTTGCAGCCTTAAACTTATCACAGAATATTTGCAAATGTTACTATCAGTTCTTATTTCAAAGTTTTAGTGGCGACCAGGATATCATCTAGGTTTAACTGTACAGGCTACACAATACCCTCTTCCATTAGTCTCTCAAATATGCATTGTGCAAGCCAAAACCATTAGGTGAAATTGCCAAAGGCCTTGTCCTGCTGTGAAAGCAGTTTTCTTCCAGTTTATCTCCACGTGCCAGTATTCACTTTAAAGTTGTGTGTAGAAAACGAAATTAAATCTCTGTAACAACTGGAGTCTCATGTATTCATTGTAACGAATAAGATTTTTTTAAAAGGAATACATTGCTTTTTCTATTGTACATCATTAACTTGGTCCTACCATCTCTTCTTCTTAAACAAAAGTATGTATGAGGCCCAAGGACTGATTGAAGGCCTCAGATGTGCCCTGTTGACGATTTCTCAGTGACATCTTTCTTATCTGCTATTGGTAAATGGCGAGGTGTCTGTTGACTGACAAGGTTCCCTTTGGTATTAATCCTATGTTGGGCCAGTATAATTGAATAAAGCTATTGCTTTTTGCTTTATTTTGCAAAGAATAACTCCTGGTTCCTGGAAATAAAGACTCTCAAACAAGAAGTCACAGTCTGTTCTGCTGGCATGCTGTGCATTTAGAGCAAGCCTAGCAGAAATTCCCAGAGTTCACTTTCACCTTTCCCATTTTCACATCAGCATCTGCTGGATTCAGTAACTCATATTCTGCAACCACTTTCCTTATTTCCTTCTTATGTGTTGCTTGTCAAAATAATCCATTTCTGTTTCATATGCATGGGTGATAAAGCAATTCTGGTAAAAAATTCTGCCAAGAAAATTGCAAAACAGTTTGTTTCATCAGAAAATTAACAGAATACCAGCTACCTTCATTATTTCTCTCCACAAAGGCACAGCAAAGGCCCTAGACCATTCGCTCACTCAAGAATATGTCTTAGAAGAAATTTTCTGAATGTTGGACCTATAAAAAACAACTCTGGGATTATATTACACTGTAATTAACTGTAATTCAATACACCTAGGTTATTTAGACTTATAGTTTAAGTTATAGACATCCAATATGCAAATCCAATTTTTCAACTATTTTTTCAAAGGTGACTTTTACCCAGTGGCCATACTCACTGGAGACAAATAAGTGGTTCAGATTTGGGTATCCTGATTTATTGCCTTTAGTATTTTTGATGTGATAACTTCATATTTGAGGAGCATTTTACTTTTAATGCACATTTCATATCTTACATTGCACAAAAAATGACAAAAGTCCAAATCTTTTCACTTCCATGTCCAGACAGCTTATAGTTACATACATGGAGTTTCAACAGTTTCAAGAAATATGATAACCTTCTTATAATATTTATCAACACTAAATCATGTACACAGGCATTCCCCCAAAATACTCTTTCTACTGAGACAACTTTGCCAATCCCAACAGTACTCCCTGCTATGATGGGGAATATACATTACTTCTGATCCTCACCATGGTACAACCATATGAGAACAATATGACTGCAATTAAATTAAATGTGTTAGTGTGATGCCTACTATAAGTATCCCAAAGTATGGCTACAATACAAAAACATGCTCTCATTACCTAAAAACATCTACATATAAGCACCTTTTTATAAAGAATTTTTGCTTTCTGACCTGTTTTTTAAAAGGAAAAGGGAAGACTGTGTGTAAAATAAAGTAAAATGTGAGAAGCCTTTTCCTATTAAAACATTCTTATAATCTAGTTAAATACCAGGGAGTTTTGTTATCACTAGAGCACATCACTCGAAAATGATGGTATACTTAGCTTTTTATCTGTTTTCATGCATAATATTACACATCATTGCAAAATTTTACTGTTGATAAGTACATAGTTCTGTAAGCCTTTTATCTTACTGAACAGAAGAATCCAAAACTGTCATTGCTAGTACTAAGGTACAGCTTATTAGTCCAACTTTCCTTGTACTAATACATAACAGCTCACATAATGAAAAAATTTAGCTTATATAGCATCAGAAGGTTGCTGTATAGGAAGGAATAAAGAATACAATCATTTTATCATTAGATAATTAACCTTATTGAAATTAATCTAGAAGATACAGACCATTGCAGGTCTCAACTTCATCTAAACTGAAAGTTTATTCATACCAATATTGTAATTACATTAATAAAGTCTGCATAAATAGTACATTTTCTAATTCAAAGTAGCATATATTTCCCTGAAGCTCAAGAGGTTGGTCAGTCCATAATTTAATACATTCTGTCACTTAATACCTGTGATAATTTAAGCATCTAGTAAAATTCAATACTGGATAACACTAGGGTGAGAATATGATCCTGATCAAACATTTGTCAGTCTTTGTAAAAGATGACAGGTATTTGAATAGGCAAGTGGATGCAGTGCAGCTCTCAATAAGATGATGACAGGAGTAGAAGCAATGTTGTACCCCTGACAAATGTTAGACCACTTTAAAATGACAGAACTAAATTATGTTATATCTAATATTATGTGGACCTAATAGTTGTTTTGCTAAGTAGGGAGAATTCTTTTGCTAAAGAAAGGTAGAAACTGAGACTCTCATTCACTATTAGTGCAAAATTATGTCAAACAGGTGATTACACCATTAGCTTTTCAACAATCCGATCATTTGATCCGAAAGCTATTAAAAGGAAAGATGTGATAACGTTTGTTGCTTCAAACACAATATTAGCAGAATGAAAAGAAAACCTTGTAGAATGATTCTTTTATTTGTTCTACTTCCGTAACAGCATTAATAAGAGTATTAACATGAGGAAGCATATAAATGTACTTCTAGAATGCCTACAGTGACAAACATATAATAACGTAAACAAAACCTCTAAGAAGCTTTTCACCATTGAAACAGTTCTGAAAGTGATTTTTCAGACGACTTATCCACACTTCTAAAAACCTGTGTACAGCAGTTGTGGTATCAAAGCTCTGTTAAGTTTAAATTAATTTTGGCTCCTTTGCATTTATGACAGCAGCCTATTTTATCTAATTGTAGTCTGCTTTGAAAATATGAATACTCCGATTGACTGCAAAACATTTTCATTAAAAAAGTGATGATTTTTTCTTTTTTTTTACCCATTCAAGAAGTGTCCTACTGATAACTGAATGTCTGCTCATATCCCCCCAAAACGGCTGACAGCCTTCCTTCAGTATTTAAGTAGTTAAAAATGAATTTGTGTTTCTCACTGATATTCTTATAAGGATTGACAGTATAAATACTTACTTGAACTCCTCAGTAAAATTTTCACTAAGAGACAATCATGATGTAGCAGTGTTTCCAAAAGCAAGTTCAAATTACAGTACGGCTGGGATAAAAGCAGTTTCAGCTGACCCGGGGCTGCCATTTCTCTGGCTGATGGAGTCCTTTCAAAATGTAAGATAAAGACAGAATAACGTAGTTAATTTATCTATGAAATTAATATCCTTAAAGTGCAGATGTAATGCTAACTCCCTTAAATGTCAATTCCTCCCAGATTACTCTGAAAACGCTTTCATGCTTGCTTACTTTAAGGCAGCTCAGGGAAGGAATTACATTTAATCTCAACTAGCTAAAAGCAAATTAACATTTGGTAGTCTGCCAAAGTTATAACTGATACAAAGCAACCTCACTTATCTCTTTCATGGAACCATGTTTGCCTTGTTCTACCAGGCAAAAGGGATTTTTTTTGGTGCTTGAATAAATTTAAGGCTATTATTCTTTAGTTCACTATTACATTAATTGTTTATTAAGAGCTCTGAAGTGTCCTTGATGAAGTATATGAAGCTCTTAATTAAAAAACAGAGAGAATGCTTAAAGCAGCTTCAAGATTCCACAGCAGGCTGAACAATTCTTACACGTCCTGAAAAATCCACCTGAAATATTAGACTGGTTGGATAACTGCTTTGCCAGCAGGGAGAAGTGAGAAAGCGTAGTACAAATTCATTAGTTTTTAAGGAGACCGCAGTTTGTTTTCTGTTTGCAGTTTCCATGTTCTGCAAAAGTTTAGATTTCCAAACAAAAACATTCCAGGGCTTCCTCTGAACTCAGGCAATGACCCAACACCAACCATTGAACTCACACTGAAGCAATTAAATTAAATAAATAAATAAAAAAATCTTGTCTTACAAGATGTTTATTAGCCATTGTATTTACTATTTTCTTCTTCTTGAAACCTTTTTGAAACGAAGTTTTCAAAATTGGGTTATGGGTAATATTTTTCCTTGCAAGCTTAATTTTTCCTTATTTTGAAGTTTTTAAATTAAATTTCAACTGATGTTTAGCCATTGTATTTATTCATTTTGGCTACAAGTTTATACAACAATAGTTGGTAACATTGAAAGTTTATGCACTGCATATGTAAACTTCTATGCACATAAATTTTACATGCACCAGTGTAAAAGCTACATATGCACTGATGCGTTAACTATGCAGGCATAATCATTATCTGCCAGTACACAGACAACACCTTCAGCATCAGTTAAAGCCTTCCGAATCAGGAGCTACATTTTCCTGTCAGACTAGAGAAGGATTTACATGCTTCTGCACATATACTTTATGTGCCATTTACACACAGCTACTGGGACAGAACTAAAATGGGTTCATGTGGCTGTTCTAATGGAGGGGAACTTTTCTGTTACATTGCACACTTCTATGACCATCTGACTCAGCTGAGTGTGCCACCACTCAACTCTGTATGCATGCATGCATGAAAAAACCTAGAGATGACCGCACAAAAACTTTGCTGTTCAGTCAAGGTTGCTATATAGACAATATACCTAATACAAACCTACAACTCCTGGAAATGAAAATGCCAACTGATATACTCCTCTAGTTTACTCCCTCACATGTATGTATGTTTTCATTACCAGAAAAGCAATATGCCACATATCTTGCAGGACAACCTAGAAGTAATCTAAGGAAACCAAGCTTCCATAACCCCATTTCCCAGCAGGACGTATTATGTCAAAACTTCACAGTTAATACTGTAATAGTCATTTTAGTAAAGGAGGAATTTATACACCTCAGCCTTTGGGATTTTAACAGTAAAGCAAATACCTATGAGTTGACAAGCAATGTACGTGCCATGAAAACATATGTATAGCTTTTGTGGTTTTCTTCTGGTACATTATATACAGTCATTGATAATGTAGCACTGGCTCGACAATTATATTTTGCATATAAGCACATACTGGATTCTAATAATATTTATCAAAAATATATACACATATACATTTAGATCTTGATAGAACATGCAGCCAAAATAACTTTTCCATATTTAAAACACATTGCATTCAAACTTTCAACATCAGGGCTTTGCATTCTTAATAATATTATCTTAATTTCTGCATGTTCAAGATTAGTTATATATATATAAACTCTAACGCATGTTAAGAACTAATTAGTAGTTAGTAATTAAAGTTTAAATTAAAACAATTACTATATTCACACTAGAATTAGTGCTGTGGCTGAGAGCAAACTCAACACTTCACTAATTCACTTAAAATATATGGGCCAGTTTCATTTTGGTTCACTTTTGAATGCCACGTTATCACATCAAATAAGGTCACTCATTGCCTTCAAACTATAAGAAAAGGGACAAGTTTGGTCAATTACATTTATGGAGGATAATATTTCAAATTACTTTAGAAATAAATGCCATTTTTAGAATATTTGAATTGAAATAAAACTTGTCTGTCATTGACCAGATGGGAAGTTATCATGTTGTAATATACACCAGCTCTTGGCTCTTTAAGCCTCTTGCAAATTGAAATGTACAATGGTGTGACTCACTTGGAGGAAAAATAAAATATAGCAGACATTCCCTACAGCCATGAAGCTAGCACCAATAAATGCACTGAGAAGTTTTGTAACGTGCATATGGAGAGGCATATGTTCTCCCATCCTCGTAGCTCAGTACTAGTGAAAATAAGACTAGCCTCATAAAAAGTGACAAAAGGTGAAGTACATATAAATATCACACATATAAATGTTCAGTTTTGTACAGTAAAAGAAAAAAAGCAGAACTCTGATTTGCAAATGGTATGATTATAAACCCCAAATGAAGCAAAGAATGAATCACAATTACCACTAAAGGAACTGTAATATAAATTATCAGTAATTATTTAGTTTGATAACCAACTATGTTATTTTGGTTAGTATCCAAGATACAAAAAAAGAAAACCTCAAATGGTAAGTTCAAGATTTTATAAGGCAAATAAACATTAATGCTAATTCATGTTAACAACATTAACAAAGATGTTAAAGTCAAATAGATAAAAGAAAACAGACTGTAGCCATTTTTAGGCATGAAAAATAATGTAGTAAATCTGGTTAAATAGTGAAATTGTAAAAAAAATAATTTCAGGAACTAGCAAAACTTTCCATTGAAATATCAAGCTTAAGAGGAGCAAATACTTAACAGGTACATTTATGCCATGTTAAGAGTCTTCAGCTAAAAATTAGGTGGCCACCGCTGGGAGGTGTACAATGGCCTCTGCTTCCAATTTTGTTATGGACAGTGAATATATACTTTTATTAGATGTAAGAAGTAAAACCTTAAAACAATTCAGGAAGAAACAGGATGCTCTAAAAAATAGTTTTCTGCAATACTTAAACGTAATGTGCCTTGTTAATACTCTAAATGCAATATTTCAAGAAACAAAAGCTTCCATGACATTAATATACAGCGTAAAACTGATAACAAAATTAGAACACCTCAGAATATGTCCATCAAATTACTTCATTACATACAGGGTCTTTCACCATTTTTTCTGAGCAGCTGAAAGGTGTGTTGTTGAAAGAAAACATTAAATATTTTACCAATGTAGTTCACTCATTATCAGCAGGACAGTACACATGGCTTTATATATATGGATTGTCCTCACACAGGTACACTAACTATAACTTCTGAGAGATGTGCTTTCTCTTGGACTCCTCATTTTCCCATTTGGTGGTCACGAAGAAGTATATTTTCTCCCCTTTCATCCAGGGAAAATATGTAAATTCTAGATAACTCTGGAATAATTTTCTGCTATTTATTCAAGACAAATCTATCCTTAATAGCATCTGTAAAATCCTAACTCCACCTCAAAAAAGAGAATATGTCAGTCTGAAACAGTACCAGTATTTCCTTTACATACTTTTACAGAGCAGAGGGTGTTCACTTGTGAAGTCATCTTCCAAAACTCTTAATTCACAGTATAATTTAAATTTTGAGTACTGGCCTTGGATAAGGGCACCAAAAAGCTCACCATCTTTTCTACAATGAGTCCTTAATGAAGCATAAATTTTCCCAGAAATAGAGTAGATCCCTTTTTAAGTGATCATGTATTCCCTCTCCTATATCTCCCTTTCTCCTCTCCTTTCTCTCCACCCATGCACAACTTATAAAGTCACAGACAAATTTTCTTGAAGCTCAATTGAGAGGTAAAAACACATGATCTTTGAAGCTTTAGAAAAACTTAAATTACTGTTTCAAGCAGGGAAAAGGACACATTCTGAATTCAACAGTTATTCAGTCTGGCATTTTGGTTAGCCAAACACAACTTTTTGACTCAGTCACAGCATCTATTGCCTCTGGTTCAGCATTTTTTTTCAGCAGGTATCAGAGGTACCAGGGAAGGAGATAACAGTACTGCTGACATGTGGTTAGGAGTGAAAACAGCATGTTTTGTGTAGCATGGGGCAAAATCATAGGGAAGATATTTTGATGTACAAGGTACAAGATACTGTATGTACAAGGTAAGAGGTAATAAATCCACAGCATTGGTCTTCAATAGGTCACCATAGGCCACGACTCACATGATAACGTATTCCTCTAAAATATAAAAATACTTTCTCAGAAATCACAATAACAACTCACAAAAGCAGCTTTTCATGAGAATGGAGAGTGAAAATCTCTCAGGAGATAACTTTTGAAGAGGAGGAGGAGGTGAAGGGGTTAGGAGAGGATCTACACTGGTGTGGGAGTGCTTCAGGTTCAAAATTAGAAAGGGAATGACAGCACAGCTGGTAGCATATGTCTCATATGTAACTTGTCATTATATGCAGTGACACAGAAAAAGAAATTAAGCTTTTGCCTCTAATCATGCTGTAATCTCCCAAAAAATCAACTACGATCAAGTAGCGTATTTTTCAATGAGTTATTTATATATCAAAACTTTTTTTTTAACCAGCAATCATAAACAGAGGCATACATTCTTTATCTCCCCTTTAATTATAAGTCTTTCAAAACAGCAACTGTGCTGAACTACATTATTGTCAAGAGCTATATACTCTTTAATTAAAGCAAGAAAACTTTACAGATAATTCAAATATCAAACATAATGAATATACCAGCAAAAAGCTACACAGCGCACTGCTTTCAATGTGACCTTTCTTACAG